CAAGCGGTTTGGTTTCCGGGTCAATTAGCCCTACCATTATTCAACAACTGAACGACCTTATCAAAAGAGGTGGTTAGATTGATGAGTGAATGTTTTAAAGTTTGGGTCGTCTTTCCTACTATTGGGAGGTACGGTAACATCAATGGGATTTACAAAGATAATTCTACTACGCCACTTAGTAGAAGTTAGACTTATTTATTGTAATGTAAAGGAGACATGCCATCTCAAAGGTCCAAGACATGTCTGCTATATTTTACAATTATTAAACTTATCATATTTATGTCTGATACATATTACACATTAAACTTATTACATATTACGCTTATTAAACTTATAATATACACAGTGTTGGGCAAATTAGTGGTCGACCAAAAATTTGTTGGTCAAATTGTTCTGGTCGAATCGGTCGAATTGGTCAAACTGGTCAAATTGGTCAAGTCTATTTTAAATATAATATATATTTTATAATAATCATTTGACCAATTTGACTAGTACAAATTCTTTGACTGGACCGGTCAAATTGGTCAAATTGGTCTGGTCGAATGGTCAAACCGGTCTGGTCAAGCCAACACTGAATATACAGTATAGAAAAGTGTGATTTTTTACTAGATAATATATTATATTGTCTATTACCCAGTAATTAAGTAAAGATTTGTACTATATTTTACAATATATGGATATTTCCTAGTGGATATATAATTTTTTTGACCAGTGTATGTCGCGACAAATGCGACGCATGCACAAATCGAGTTATAATCGTACAGAGGGGGACCCGACCTAGCCACTTTCCGGATCTCACATTATCATCTAGATCTTCACTAATATCATAAGAATCATTAGAACTAAGTTGATTCAAATCGTTAAGAATTGTTTTTGTTACAGGGCGCTTTTCTGGATTTTCATCCCAACACTGCTTAAAAAGTTCAATATATTGAGATGGTGTGCCTTCAACAGGATTTTCTCTCATTCCTTTGTATATATGTATGGCAATCGCTTCATTTGTTGTGAATGAATGGAATGGAGGTTGACCACTTGATAATTCCCAAAAAATTACACCAAAGGCTGTAAAGATCAGATTTCTTATCATATATATATGAAGGATTTTTAATAGATGAAGTTCATGTATGCGGGCATTCCGATATTACTTGAATTTGAAGTTGTTGATGTTTTGTTTATATATTTTGAAAAACCAAAATCCACAATTATCATTCTTCTTTCATGAACTAAGACATTTTTCGAATGCTATAAAATAATATAAAATTAATAGGTTTCCAAAGTTTATAAAATGCAACATAATCATAAACTTTACTTACTAGATCATGATGAATAATGTTATTTGAATGTAAGAACAAAAGTCCACGTGTTATTTCCTTGGCCATACGAATTTTATCCGTCCACTCTAGCTTTGAAAAATTTATTCTCAAATACGAACGTAAGTCTCCATTATTGGCATACTCTAAAACTAAATTGTAAGGTCCGTTTTGAGAATCTAATTTTTGAAGTATTTTTATTATCAGATATCAAAATTAAATGTAAAAAGTATAAACTTTCGAAGAAATACAAACCTTTAATTACACCGTAAAACCGATTTATATTGGGATGAAATCCTACTCTTTGTAAAAATTGAAGCTATATGATAAATATAAATAAATTAATTAAGTATTATATAACCGGAATTTCATAATTTTATTAAAAGCGTATGCATATGTTATGATTGAAGTATGATTAATATTCTGATTTTTAAGGACTATCGACGAATCCAGAAGGTTCAAGATTTGGGAATTATGCCAATACAATAAAATCACGTGATAAATACAATGAGAAAAGTCACGGGTTTAACTAGATATCAGTTAATGCCCATTGAATTTACTAATTTACACCACCACTTCTATTGGCCGTACCAATTATTCACTTGGTGGAGTAGTTATATTATTACAGATGTTTTCAAAAAGGTGTGAACGAACGTAGATGACCATATCAAGGGAAATTGATGATATTTCCCAGATTTCCGGAGTTTTAAAGACCCGCTCTATTTGGATTTTGAATTTTTCCTAATCAGAATTTTAAGATTCTTTTGATTCCCATATAGGTATATGGTAATCGTTGTTCACACCTTTTTGAAAACAGCTGTAATTAAATTCTTTATACTCCGATAGTGAAGTGGTGGAGGAAATTAGGGCACACAATGCCATTAACTTTCAATTTTGACATTTGGACGCAGTTCTTATGTACAAAATCCGGACTCCGATTCTAAGAAAATTCTGTAAGGGATTTTTTACTAAGCCTCCGATGCGTGCGCTGCGTACTTTTTTCTCATAATAATTCTGCGCAGAGATTAACTTTGTATTCGGCGAAAGTCTGAATCTTTGCAAGACTCTGAATTAACTACACCATTTTTCTACCATATCGTAAATACTTCCTTTCCAAACTGTATTTTTATGTTCTATGACGGCCGGTAATGATGCCTGACTAAACTCACGTGACCTGACAAAACCATATAGTTTCATTAATCCGTCACTGACAAAACCTATCGTTTCGTCAATTCGTCAACAGCAAAAATAGTTTCGTCAGGCATCTATAACGGCCGGCCATTATTTTGATTTTCTGGATTTTGTTTATCAAGATTATCTAAATCAGATAATCGGATAAAAGATATGTATATATTAGTATTCTCATTAAGCAGTATATCAGACTTTAATAACTTCAATCATAACATAAGTGTTCCTATAACATTCTTTCAGCATTTGTGCAGTGATTATACCGACCGAATGATGTAGGACCATTTAAATCGTAAGAATTTCAACTTTAATCTGTATAATCAATACCTCTTTCACTAATTTCTTAACATCATTTTCATCTGAATTCATGCTAACTTTTAAGCTCTTAAGTGCAACTGTTAGTCTAAAATCTTTCCATTCGGACTTGTAAATATAACTGTTTCCTCCCTCTCCAATCTGAACAAATTCATTGAATTCATCACGGTCAAAATATTTAATTTTCTTAGCAGAAATTGCATCTTCAAGCCATTCATTGTAAGTATTTGACATTTTTCAAGTTGAAATATGACAGAGTGCTGATATAATTTTTAGATTTGAGATTTTGTATTTTATATACCCTATAAAAAAAGTTTATCATTATGTTTTTGTTCAATTGTTGTCAGCATCATTCAACAAATGTTCGGAATGGCCCAGTATAGGTATAAAAACGTCAAAATCTGTATGTTTTAATTTGTAAAAAAATGTACAGATTTTGTCCTGCTTTTATACCTACAGTTGAATGATACTGACAATAATTGAACAAAAAACGTAATAAGCTTTTTTAATAGGGATGTAATCACCACGCATACCCCCCGGTTTTAAACTTTGCTTTTGTTTTTTTTTACGTATATAATAAGTAATTTAAG